TCTAAAATGGCAGTTGCAGTGTTGCTTTGGAATTCTGGATGTGAGCCTTGYCAAATATTGAAATTATTAAATTTAAATAGCAATTTAAGTGTATTTGACTTTTAGTGTGCTAGCATAGGAAATTTACCCTTCTACCCAAAATGAAAGATTTCCCACATTTGTTCTATATTTTCTGGATATTTTCTATATTTTTCTATTCCCTTTCAAAAGAATGGAAACTTTCTGGCAGTGCCCTTGATGAGCCTTGGGACCAGTCACCRCCTGCTAAGGCACAACAGGCTGCTGGTGCTTTTTGTTGGGGTACAATTTCTGCAGGAAAGAGAACTGGAGGAGTATGAATTCCTGGAGTGAAACTCTTGACCACTTAATGATTTTTAGTTTGTAGAATCACAGAATATGTGATTAGATTCTGTTGGCTTTTATATGCCCATTTTAGTCCTGTAAATCTTCAGTTCCTTCTTGGGGGGTTGTGTTACTGAGATTTGATGAGGGAACTGATACAGCTGCTGATGCTCATGCTGCCAGGGGAAAACCGGGTGGAGTTCCCCTTCAGGCAGTGTGAAAGCAGAATGCTGTGTTCCCTGTTGGCTTTGGGAGGGCTGGGGTTTTCCACGTTTTTTGTAAAACTTACCATGCCTGGTGCATCCTCACTGTGAAAATGAGAGATGTGTGGTGTGGGGCTTGACTTTGACCTGTTGGACTTTCAGAAATAAAGGRTGTTAGCTGGGTAACACAAAACTGCAGCTTTGAGAACTTTGGCTTAATTTTATTTGCTTATCTATGCTTGAAAATGAAGCTTGTTAGCAAACCCCTGCTTCTGTAGAATGGATATGTCCCTATAAGAGATGCAGGATGGTGTGTGCAGAAACATAAAAATTGTGATTGACTGCTTTGAATTGTAGCAAAACTGAAGATAAATATTGGAACAGAAACGAGCTGTTTTGGGACAGTGGTAAAATAGACCCCTTTGTTTAGTGATRTGCAAATGCAATTGGAAGTCAGATGGCAGCAGGAGGAAAACTTGAATAGAATAGTTAACCAAAGAGGTTGTATGATCTTTTCTTGTTTGGTGTTAACATCAAGTTGAGCGAACTTTCTCTATTGTCAAGGAGTAAGTGGGACTGCATGATCTTTTGATGTACCTTTCAGCCTTTCAGTGTGATGGGTTAAACACTTGAAAGTATGTAGGGGRTACACATCCCAGTATTTGTGGATTTTGTTTCTGTAGTGTTTACCTGCTTAAGGGTTTTCTTGTTTTCTTTTTCTGCTTTGAAAAAACTTAATTGATCAAGAATGGTAGAAACTTGGAAAGGGGAAAATGAATGTGTCTTTCTTGTCTTCTTTACTAAGTCCAGGGGTKCATTCCAGACTGAATTAAGTATCTTGCACGTCCAGGAAAGCAGGACTTTATATACCCTCAGATTCTTAAGAGAAGTTTCTTTTGTCACCTGTGGAGACTTAAATTTTAATCTATCTTCTACGTTTAGAACCTCAAGAGAAGGTATTGACTATTGTGTTTTAAAGTTTTGAAGCTTTTCAATTTTAYGAATGAAATGAAAATTCCTTTAGCTGTCAAACTTTTTTACTGAATTGGATGGGTGGCTGTTGTATTTCAGTTTAAAGTTTGACTAAAGCAGAGCTGAATGTGTATATTTGGTTAGGAAATGATAAAGAGTAGCTATTAYGATATATCAAGGTGGTATATAGAAATACTTGAAACATAATTTTTTGAACTATGGGGTTGTTCTTGTTTGGTTTTGGACCAAAAAACAGGGAAGTTTGACTTGAAGGCTGGACTTCTGAGTCCAACTGGGCAAGGAGGTACTTGAGGATATTCTTGAAATGATATGATGTGTAAAGAAGCCTTACCAGGTTTTCTAGCAGGCAGCGGGTTTTTTTGCCCCAGAATGAGTCATTCTAATRTAAATTCATGTTGAGGCAGTGCAATAAAATAAGTGGCCAAAAAGCTTGTTAAAAATGCTGGGCAATAGAAGGAGCCATTGGCTCTTCGAGAAATTCTTATCAGTCATTATCASTGAACTCCAGTCAGTGCCTTCTAGGAGTCGCTGAGCATCAGAAAGGCTTGTCATGAAGTCTGTAAAGGAATGCACAGTGCATCTTCTCTCTCAGTGCCAATATTTTGCCACTGATACAGAACAAATTTTGTACCGAGGCTGCCCCCTTTTATCCTGGCGACAGGGTAGGATGCAGCTGTGTGAAATAAAGTTGTTTCTAGGTGGAAATGAGAAACAGCATGCTGATGTTAGACCAACTCTTCGAATTCCTTTGGCTTCTAGGAAGTACTGAAATAATTTCTATACATTTTATTAAAAATTRCAGTGACAATCCCTTCTGTGTAGCTTGTTGCAATTTTGTAAAATATAAAAGGCAGTCTGTGTTATGGCTGGTGAAGAGATTAGTGCTAAAGTCTCTTGTTCTGGGAGTCCATACAAAAAAAAGTTGTTTTAGGTAAGTCTTTTTGGTACAAGCTCAGGTGTAGCCATATGATTAGGTCTGTTTGTTTACAGGRCACCTGTCAGCAGTCGCAGTGATGTAGAGACTGAGGCCCTCTACATCTGAATTCTCTAGGCAACAGTGAGGGCAAACTTCGGGGGGAGGAAAGAGCATCTTTGYATTTCCCTTTTTAAAGATTATTACTTAGTGGAAGGTAGTTCTGCATGAGTAATTTCCAGACTAGCAGTTCTTAGCTTTTAAAGGGAAGAGCCTTTGCACCTAGAGAATTCTGGGCTCGTGTCTGCAGGCACAGTCCTGTGTGTCCTGCCGGGGCTGARCCTCTCATGATTCGTGGCTTTGGCAGCACAGAGTGTGTTCTCAGCTCAGAGGAGACCTTCACAGCACTGGCAGATGTTTGAAGCATGAGCCAGACTGTAGGAACTTGTCTGGCTGTTCAGAAAAGTGAGACTCCAGCACCTGAGCGAGTCAGCTTTTCCTTGGGAGCASTAGCATCACTGGCTGCCAAGTCCCAGCACTGCAGATCTGGCTCAGCTCTGTCTGACTGGTCTTGCAGGTCAGCAGCACAGGGGCTGCCAAGRCACAGCACACAGAGGAGATTCCTGGCCTTCCTTATCTCCTCTTGGCTCCATGGGGGACAGGATCTGCTCATTCCCATCCTGCTGGCTGCAGCCATGGCGGGCCATCACTTAGCCACCTTTTGGTAGCTCCATGTGGATAAGGAAGWAATGTTCCTTCGCCTTTCAGCTTTCTCCTGACACAATAGCTAAAATTTCCATAATAATCTTATCTGTGTTCCTGGCTGTTGGAAGTTAAAAACGTACTAACTTCTTGAAATAAATAAACTGAAAAAAGTTGTCTTAAAGGCACTCAATTCATGGAGCAGGTGAAGAACATAGAAATTCTCTTCTGACACCAGTTAAGATATTCTTGATTTAATTAAAGCTCTTGGAGTATACCAGTGCTTCTTGGACGGTACACCGTGATGGCTATGGCGAGCTGTTACAGGTAATGCTTGCATTTAATAAACAGGAATTTTATGAAGAGATGTACCAATATACATTTTCCTAGTGATGTATCTCCTATTCTGATACCTTTTTGACTCTCATGTGGACCTTCCTTATAATTTGTGGCCGGTAGGASAACCCAGAACAACCTGAAAAACTGTTTTTACTGTCACCACAGCTTCACATTGGCAAGAGAAAGTATATGCTGGTTTCTGCAGCTTCTTGAGGGATTTAGGTGGTGCTTTCTCCTGGCTCTCCATTATTTTTCAAGCTGGCATCTGACTTTCATGTTAGGCAGAATGTGTCTTCCTTTTTGTTTTTTTTTCTTTTTTGTTTGTTTGTTTGCTGAGGCAGGTGAAGTGAGCATTCCATGCGCTGGGAGTATTCCATGTCTGGTGTGGAAAGCTTGAACTCTGCAAATCTATGTCATCAATTGAGTGTAGCAAAAGCAGAAAGATGTGTCCCACCCAAACCAGGCAGCCTCATATCCCCTCTGCCAGCCCTGGATTGATTCTGTGTTCATCAGACAGGCCAGCAATGCTGCTCCTTGAAGCTTTTATGTACAGCTGACACCGCGCTTAACTATAACATCTCCGCTGGCTGCTGCAGCCAGCCACTGACCATTCAGAAATACTTATTTATTGAGGACTGTGCCCCAGTGTTCCTCTTTTTGGGAASCTRTTTGCCAGCCTCCACCAGCARTGGGGATTTGCAGCAGATGCTGAGYGCAGGAGCTGTAGGTATCACCTGTAGTTAGTTGCCATTCTTTCTATGTGTACTGTGTGGTCTTTTTTCCTTGCAAACMTGATCAAAGTGTTCCTTTAGGGAAGCAGTTCAAGGAAGAGAGGTAATTGGGGAAGCCATTGTCTTTATCCCTTCTCTGTACAAAAACTTGTGCAGCATGGGGGAGGCAGGAGGACTGTACCAAGGTCCTGGCAGGAGTTTGTTTTGCCCTGACTGTGTTGGCTCCTGTGTTTCATGTGTGACAACTTAGAGTTGATACCAGATTCCCAGGTAAGTGGTATCACTGATGTTGGCTGGACATTGCTGCCACATAAAGCTTTAAATATAAACTATAATATATATGAACTGTATCATTTAATCTAGATAAAAACTATATATATATAAACTATATAATTTAATATATAAACTATATGTAAACCATATTGTTTCTATCTAGTTTATTATATAAACTAGAATAAATATAAACTTTTATATATTTTATTAAATATATCGTTTATAAAATATATAAGCTATACAGTTTAATATATAAACTGTACAAACTTGAGTTTGTATTTGTTCAGAAAGAGGCTTAAGCAGTGAAAATGAGCAGTTGACTGCTGTTATGGGATCAACTAGAAGCATTCAGGCTGTTGAACTACAGTAGCTCAAATCCTGCATGGGGTRAACTAGAGCAGAGTGAGTTGTAAGCACACTCACCATTGCATGAATGTGCTTTGGCACAATTCAGTTATTTTGATTTGCCTGTTTCTAATTTATTGTTTTATTGCTTTCTTACAGGCAGGCAGAAGTCCTGAAGGCTGACATGACAGGTAATTACCTTTGTTATACAGTTGGTCTTGCTTATTAATAATATTTGATTCTTGATTTTGTTTTCCTTTTGTGTAYCTTTTATCATTCCTAAGAATTCTCTGGAAAGTGTGGCCTTATATTAAAGGCTTGTCCTCTGTATATAAATAAATAAWTAGTATTTTAACAACTGTGCCCCTGTTGCCTGTACCTAATACATATTTTTGAAGTTGACTTTGGATGTATTTGGAGATGAAGGTCATGCCACTACTTCTTTTGAGGCTCCTGCCCAGACTAGCACAGCAACTGCTGTACTTGGGATTGGTCAGGATTTGGGTGTTTTTGAGGAACCTGGTTGATGGAAATGCTGATCTGAGCACTGCCATGTGTTGTGAAAGTGCAGCCCTAGACGTAGTGAAATGCTATGGGCTATGATTTAAGCTGTATATGTTAATGGGAAATGGGAATGTTTTATAGTCATGTATCAGCCCTACTGTACAAGTGGCTTCCCTAATGAACTTTTGCTCAGTTCTGCTTGCCACCATGGTGTAGTGGATGTAGCAGGCTGGTGTGTAGCCCCCATAGGAATATTATAACCACCTGGACCTGCCTTACCCAGCAGGAGTGGCTCCACCATCAGCAGGATGGTTTCTCTGCCATGAGGCCCATCCCTTGTGCTCTGAAAGCCCCAGCCCAGGTGATTGTAGGAAGCAGTGGACTCTGTCACTCAGTAACAGTGTTTGCACTCACCCTCTGGGATGGAGAGCAGATGGCTACTGAAGAGTTAGAAAATGGCAAGCACACAGCAGTACTTTGCCTACAGTGTTCTCTAAATACCAGCAGCGCATGTCCAGGCACTGTCCTATTTAGCATTCCTCCATGGATTTATTTTCTGCTTATTATATTCAGGCTACACTAGATTTTTTTTCTGAATTCATCCAGTGGCAAGAAATTCAGCAATTAAATAACTTATGGAGAAGCACCTCCTCCTACCTGTTTTGTTTTTTGACTTGCCAGTTGTTGCCTTTGTTGTAATCTAGTTCTGGTGTTGTAGGAGGCTCATCAGATAAATCAGTGAGCACTCAACCCCCAACTCATCTGTAGTTCAAGTATTTCACTCTTCTGAGGAAACTGATAAAAACAGGTGTTTGGTGCTCTGTATCTTACACTCTGTTTTTYCACTTGGTAAATGAGTGAAAAATCAGAGTAACTCCATCAATTTGTGTGTTACAAAAACTGTTGTTTCTTTGTTTTTTTTCTTTCTTGTTGCTCAGATTCAAAGCTGGGTCCAGCAGAAGTCTGGACGTCCAGACAGGCTCTACAGGACTTATATCAAAAAATGCTAGTGACTGATTTGGAATATGCTTTAGATAAAAAAGTGGAGCAGGATCTGTAAGTACTTCATTGAATTTGTGTGTRTATATGTAATGTGGGCTGGGGAGCAGGAAACCTTTAGACTTCCAGAAAAGTATTTTATCCTGTGGAACGGTTGTCTTACTTCCTTTAAACTGAGAGCTGTGCTGTGGGTGAAACATGAGAATGCACTGCAGAGCTGATGAAGAGCATTCAGTAGGCTGGTTMGTGTTTCACCTCTGGCAATTCAGTAGCAGCCATGTCGTGCAGGAGTGAGTTTTGAAGAGACAGATGGAGGGGGGGAAACTAAGAACACCAGTCTGCTCACCTGTCAGGTAAAGGCTGAAGTCTGCATTTTCTAGAAAGGAGCAACTTTGCCTGATGTCATCAYCTGGAGCTTTGAGCAAGGTCTAACACGAGCAGAGTAGCTGCCAAAAAGCCTCATTTTAAGCCCTGTGAGGTASAGCTGGGCAGAGGGAGGAATAATTAGAGGAGAACTTCATGGGTTGCTAATGACACCTTAAGAATCAGGGAAGGATGCAGCTGTTTTTTCTCCATGCCCTGAATCCATTCCCTGTTTTTCAAGATGCAGATGTGGGTTATACTAAGTTTAGTTAACAGAAGGTTGTGGTTCTTTCAGCACTGAGRGAAGTCAGATGAGCAGGTTGCCTGAATTGTCCTGTCTGTGCTTCCAGTTACTGAATGATTTTTAAGCCTCATTTCTGTACCCCACATCTTGTTTTAGGAGGGACTTCTATGCTGCCTAAAACAGAACAATTGCAAGCAAATACTAATGATATTAGTGTTAGCTATATACCTATATACGGATATGTATTATCTATATATGATCATGACCTGTTTCCCTAGATATGAGAAGTGAGGAAAAGTGGTTATTTGATATTTAACATTTTTTCTCATCTGAATGTTGCCTGAATTTGAATATTCTTCATGTCTGATGCTATGTAATTAAACAGTTCTTTCCTGTTGCTTATGCCATCTGTGTAAGATACTTCCAAAGTAAAAAAGTAAACACTTATTTTATTTTCAGTTGGAATCATGCCTTTAAAAATCAGATCACGACGCTCCAGGGTCAGGCAAAAAACAGAGCAAATCCAAATCGGAGTGAAGTTCAGGCGAATCTTTCTCTGTTTTTAGAGGCAGCTAGTGGCTTCTACACACAGGTGAGTTGCACAAAGTAGAGGGTGGGTGGACGATCAGTTTTAGATGGGTAAAATCTGTTCTTTGCCCTTAGCTTAGGAATCTGCTGCTGTACTGGATCGACCAGTGCACTTTGCTAACGCTGGTGCTCTCAGCAGGACATGTCTGCAGAGCTGGTGATGGGCTTTCTTTTGATCAGCTGCAGTCTTGAGCTGAAACTTCTGTGTGTCTGGCAGTTGTTTTGGTGCAATTTAAGTTCCCTTCTAGTAGAATCTGCTTTAAAGCCTAAACTCCACTGTTTTGGGCAAGGTCAAAGCTCCATTTCTTACTGTACTCTATTGTGACTRCTCAGAGCAATCACAAGGCAGCAGGAAAGGTTAGAATGATACTTCCTTGCTCTATCTCTTGCCTTCTGGCTGTGCATCTGTTGCCTTTTTGAGCTGCTTTTTGTGTGAATMTTCTAGCTACTAGGTCTAGCCTTCACTGGCTGTTCAGTCCCTCTTAAAGCCTTTTACTCTGTCTCTGCAGTGACCTGTGGTAAGGAATTTTGTCTTTTAATTGTAATGTCTCTGAGTAATGACAACACAACAAACTTCAAGCCTGGCAGATGAGTTAATTGATGATTTCCTTGTACTCTTAGTTCTTTTTTTTTTTCGCTGCTTCTCTGAAAAGTTCTATTCAGCTTCTCATTCCTGCATATGTGTTTGTGGKCCATTGCCTTCATTCCTTTTTATTCCCTGGATTGTGAAGGATAAGCAAGAATAATTAGTTTATTCTTGGATTGAGTTATTTAGGAACAKAAATATGTGCAGAAAATGCAGATGCACAGGATGTGTGATGGCCTAATGTTTTGTTCTTTGCCCCTTCCTTGTGTCTCCTAACACCGATGGTGAGCATTRAGGTGTAAGTCTTTATTTTCAACAATTAGAACAATCAGTTCACTTCTAGGAACTTTTCTTCCCCTAAAGCAAAACTATGTTGTTGAGTGCTCTTGGGCTAAGAATATTTTTCAAGGTTTTCAGTTAATCACCAAACGAGTGTGATTCCTATTCACGTATTAATTTCCTACTGACTATTTTTTGTCCACACTCTTTCTTACATTAGCTTTTGTTAGATTTAAGCTTTAAATTACGGAGAATAAGAGTCAGTGTCTGATAATTTCCTTAATAAAGACAACTTGCCTTTCTTTCCTTTTTTCCCTTCATTTGGTATCTGGTTCAACAATTTTGTGGTTGCTGAATCCTCTCCCAGGTAGTGGTTCAGAGTAAACTTTGTTGGCTAATTTGCACTGTTTTCAGTGTAACCTCAGGTTGCATCAGTTCCTGTTTGAATTCCAAACATCTTCAAGGCCAACCCCAGGCTTTTTCACAGAATC